CAAAAAGCACAGGCAATCAAAACCAAAATAAACAAATGAGATTACATCGAACTAAGAAATTTCTGTAAAGAAAATGGTCAACAAAGTGAAGAAACAACCAACAGAATGGGAGAAAAAAAAAACTGCAAGCTATGTAAGAGAGAGGAAACTAATATTGACGATTTACAAAGAACTTCAGAAACTCAGTAATAGCAAAACAAAGAACTCTGAAGGAATGGGCAAAGGAAATGAGCAGGCATTTTTTGAAAGAACAAATTCAATGGCTAATCAACATATGAAAAAATGCTCGGGTTCCCTAGCTGTCAAGAAATATAAATAAAAATTACATTTAATTCCGTCCAACTCCAGTGACATTGGCCTACATTCGGAACTCTAGCAACATTTGCTGGTGTGGATGTGGGGAGAAAGGTGTCCTACACCACTGCTGGTAAGAGTGTAGGCTAGTGCAGCCACTGCTGAAGTCAGCAGGAGAGTGCAGAGACAACTGAAAATTGATCTACTGTATGACCCAGCTACCCCACTCCTAGGAATAAATCTAAAGGAAGTGAAACCTGCTTCAGAGAAGGCAAGCTGCATCCCTATATTCATAGCAAAACACAATCCACAATAGCAAATACCTGGAAACTACCAGATGCCTATCTAGAGAAACAGATAAAGAAACTGTGGGGCATCTACCCCATGGAATACCATTCAACCATTGAAAGAATGAAATTCTCCCATTTGCAACAAAGTAGTCCCCGCTGGGGTTCATTATGCTCAGTGAAACCCAAAACGGCAAACGTCATATGTTCTACTAATAGTCGACCTTCATGCAAAATACCAGATCAACACAAATATAGATATATATACAAATACTCTCATAGATGAGCTATATAATGGAGACTAGCATATTGGGAAATGAAAATACACTGCAGTATGCATCTCTACTCCAGAATCAAAGGAAGACTTCCAATGAAACTGTTAAATATGCCTTAATTATATGACACTAGATTTTTCTACCATTACCTTTACCTACAATGAAACACTTAAATAGCAGAATGTTCGACTTGTGACTGTAGCTGATGAATATACTACTGTAACGATATGGGGGAAAACAGTGGGTTGGGGCGGGAGAAAAGGGGAGGAGAAAGAGGAGGTGGACAGGGCATTTCCCATACCTACAAAACCATATCATGGAAAATAATAATACAAAAGACCGATTATACAAATCTCTTCAATTTGTACAGGGGATAAAACCAGACCCAGTCTGAATAACTTGGCTAAATTCATGAAGCTAAATGGTGCAGAAGTCCCAACTGCCTGACGTCAATCAGCTGCTCACGTCTGCTCTTCAACCGAAGCTCACTTTACAGAACAGATGCTACACGAACCAATTTTCAGGCTTGTTATCTTAGCTTCACAGATACCTCATTCAATACCTATTTACCTACCACGATACAGTTGACCTTCTAGCTCAGCATTTACTATAAATCAGAACAAAACTTTTTACTTACACTAAATAAAAAGTAAAAACCTAAAAAATAATAAAAGCACTGATACTGAAGTGCTGGGAAGGTGGTAACAAGAGACAAACTGGTCTTGAATCTCTCTGAGAGCAATGACCCATCTTCCCTACATTATAAATAATCTCCCTCCACAGGCAATGGCTCTCAGGAGTTCTCAAATCAGCATGACAAAACGGACATGAGGAAGAATTGGAGAAAAGTGTCAAACAAGAATGATATTGAGCCCCAAAGATGAAAACAATGATTCCTGAACTGACGCCCCCGATGAGATTAAAGCATCCACACATGTTTTGCTTTCGGGAGTTAAAAGTACACTCTATCCTGAAGCTTCTCTGCAAAGCACACCTGATCTTCAAACACAGAAAGCAGCTGACCCGGAGACTCAGATACTGCATACTGTTTCTCAACCAGAGTCACAGAAAACCCACATTTTAAAAAGGTATAATTGGATAAGGGCTTTCAGTTTGGATGGAATTCACTAAGCAGCACAGTTGCAGCGCCAAGCTGTGTCCTGACACACACAAGCACCTGCGGGAGCTGCAGATCGCCTTGACAACCGCTCACTCTGAGAGCTTGAGAGCAGACAGGCTGCCACCGGGAGCCACCAGGGCTATCAGGCCACACCACAGCGGAGGATAATGCGATACTCCAGCTCACAGATGGTTCAGATGGAAGTGAGCTTTTAAACACAATTCTGCTACACTAAACAAATCCATGTCAACAAACTCAGGTTTCTTCCCCCCTTACCACTCCTCCATGGAACACTGTCAGGCAATTATCCACCTACCACATGAAGGATGAGAACTGGGCATTTTCAGTTATTACAGGCTCCTCATCAAGACACACTCATGATTTCACAAAGAGCCAATTACAACTGGGAAAGCTTATTTGAGACACTACTAACGACAAGTTCTTGCAAGCTAGAGTTCCTGAGCTATCAGGTCCAAACCCCAGAATTTTGTTTTTTCTTATTGCTCTCATAGGCTCTAGGAGTCTGAATGTAACAACAACAATACAGAAAAATAATACTTGTCTTCACTTGATCTTAGCCAAAAGGCCGAGAAGCGATAATAATACTTGTTTTAGCCACCGGGCATTTCCTATCCAGGGACACGCTCAACCCAACAGTGAGATCTTGAACAACGTCCCTAAACTGGCTAGTTTCATGTCCAGAACATGGTTTCCATGGTCCTGAGTAAAACACCCAAGGGACTGGATGCTTCCGTCGGTTCCTTTATGGTAAGCTTTCAAAATTCAAGGTAAGCAAATGCACAGACGTGTGTGTGTGTGAGAGAGAGAGAGAGAGAGAGAGAGAGAGAGAGAGAGAGAGAGAGGGAGAGAGAGAGGGAGAGATAGATACTGGGGAGAGGCAGGAGAAGGGTCCCTCATGCGAGAGGTGGAAGAATGCAAGCAGTTCCACGTCTGGAGTTCTACACACTGTCCTTCTAGCACAGTGGACTTCAGCCAAACATTTCCAAGTTAGAAACACAAGGGTGAGGTTTCTTAAGATGATTACCTAAAGTCAAAGTATACACTGCTTTCCTATTAAGACCTAAAATGCACCTTGATCACTTTTGGATCTTTTTCAGATTATTTTACTTTCAGAAGGTGAATGAATTTCATATTAACAGATTTGGGACCATGACAATGCTCCCTCCCCCATCCGCCTTCCTGTCAGTACTCCCTCCCTCCTCCTTCCTCTCTTATTTTGTCAATTTTTTCCAATGATATAGTTTCAGTTTATTTCATAATCACAAGCTTAACTCTTCCTTTAGGTAAAAAAAAAAAAAATCAACAAGTAGCAAGTAGGAAAAACCAGTGTTCCTCAAGAGTAAAGACAAGGAACTATAAATAATCAAATCTTAAGATGTCAAGTTTCATATTGATTGCATTGTTTGACATCTACCAAAATCGCTTCTACATTCCTGTTCCAGCAGGCAAGCCTTCTTACATATCACTGGCGTAGGAACTATGGAGAAAGGGGCTTGGAGTAGACCATGCTTAAATGTGAGTTATTTATTGTAGCAGCAGAGAGATGGGGTGAGACTGGGGTTAGGCCTAAGCCAGGAGGGAGGGAGGGTGGTCCAGGTCTCCCACACGGGGGACCAGGAGCCCAACCACCTGAGCCATCCACTACTGCCGTCTTCACCGGCAGGAAGTGGGGGACCGAGACAAGAACCAAGCCCAGTACTGTGTGCGACATGCACATCTTAGCCTTCTCTCTCTCTCTGAAGTTCATTCTTGAAGAACATCCATCCTGGGTTCCATACCCAAGCCGTTCAAGATGGTTAGAGGGGGATTTAGCAGAAAGCGATCCAATATTTGTGTTCCAATGGTGTGTGGTAACTGAATTGTTACGGAATTGTTAGATACAGCTTTGTGAACTGCAACATTATAAAAAGTACAATTTATGAAAGTTCAAAAAGGCCATCTTCCCTTCTTACTGTAGGAAGTTCAACATTTTGCATCTTAAGGCGTTTGCCCTCCCTTCCTTCTTAGGTAGCGGTAACAAAATGGCCTTCCTCAACAGATCCTGCATCACTCCAAACTCTGAGGTCCTGACACAGGAGGGAAAGAGAAAAACCAAACAGTACAGACACTCCCCGCCGCGCCCCAGAAACAAACAGGAAGTGAAGCCACCAGAGAATCGCAACGCTCTTTTTTTTTCCCCCTTTACACTGCGCAGCTCAAAAATGTTAATAAATAAATAAATACTTTTCCCTTTAACAATGTGCAACTTAGCCAACGCGGCGTGTGGGTATGACAAATTCCAACTCTGAACCACGCCCTCCCCAGCCAGCCAGCCACACCCACGCGGAGGGCTGCTGCTTCTTTTTTCTTCCCCTACAAAGAGGCCGGCGCCCCGTAGCCTGCACCCCTACCTGGGTCCCCCCCAGCCCGCCACCCGCCGTGCCAGCGGGGTTCTCTGTGCCCCTCCTCACTCTTCTCCAAGCAGCAGCCGTCCTGCCTAGACCTCAACCCGGCTGGCTGGCTGTGGGCGCCCGGCTCAGGCTGGTGATTCACTGGCTCTCGGGTCTCTTGCAAGCCCTCTGTCCTCCCTTTTCCGAGGGAAGTTTCTCAGCGTGGAAACCTAGCCCTCGCCTGCCCTGACCGTCTCTCCTACCGCCTCGGTAGTCTCCTTGGCCACCCCCGCCGGGACCCTGCGCCCCGTCAGCCTGCGGGAGGCAGCAGCCGGCAGAGCCGCCGTGCGGGCGCAAACCCCGACCCCACAGGAGCGAACGCCCAGACTCCGCGCCCTGCGCCTCGGCGCTTCCCCGCGGCCTCTCTGCTCCGGGACCCGGCCTCCACGACGTGACCTCCCGCCCCGGCCCCCGAGAAGCCCGCGCGTGGAACCTGCGGGCGGTTTAACGCAGTGAACGGCTCCGGCTCTTGCTCCCGCTCAAGTTGCCGCGCGCCAACTTAGCACCCGCCTGGGCTTCCCTCCCACCCCCGCGCCCGGGGCGCCCCGCCAAGGCCCCACGCCCGCGCTCTTACCTGGGGCGGCTGCTGCCTCAGACCGAGTCGGCCTCGGGGTCCGGGGGTCGGCGGAGGCCGCAGCAGTGGGAGCCGGGACCAGAGGCCCCTCGGCAGCATCGTGATGCGTGGGCGCGGGGCCACCATCGGCGTCAGCGGCGCATCCCCGTCGCGCCGGCCGGCTTCTGCCTCTCGGGCCGCGCCGCGCGCCCGGGGCGGGCTCACGGGAGGAGGGTGTGGTATGTATCTGTTTCCACTTCTCTTCGCACACACCCCGCGGCGCTAGGCGGCTGCTTTCCGGCTGCTTTCCCTCTGCTGCGAGAGCCAGAGGGAGAGTTCGAGAGATCGAAGCCAAATGCCCTCCCCACGCTGGTCTGGGGTGCTCAGGACGCACCTGCGCCTTCTGGAATAAGCCAGAATGGGCGACTCCAACCATTGTGAGCTGTCTGGTTTCAAAATTCGATCATTCTGCCCACTTGTGTCGTGGCAACTTCTTGTTTATAAAACAAACAAACACGAGCTGCGCAAGAACAACTTAAACCATGCTTTTATAAGGGGGCTATTAGATAAAATACAGGATGCCCAATTAGATTTGATCTTCAGATGTCCGGTGCAGCGAGTTAAGATGCTGTTAGGGACATCTACACCTGAGTGCCCTAGAGACGTGGCTGGGTTTCTAGGCCCAGCTCTAGCTCCTGCTTTCAGCTTCTCAAAGATGCTTGCCCTAGGAGGCAACAGATGGTGACTCAGGTGCTGGGATCTCTGCCGCCCACGTGGGAGACCTGAATTGAGTTTCAAGCTCCTGATTTGACCTGGCCCAGCCACAACAACTGTTTGAGAATCTGTTGAGCCAACGACAAGAGCGTTTGCATGTTCTCACTCTCGCTTGCTTTCTCTTGCTTTCTCGTTCTCTTTCTCACATTGACCTTTCAAATAAAATTATATGACATTAAACTTTGTTCCACACAACCATGTTTTTGCCTCAACTAATATCTGGCTCACACTTATTCTGTAAACAAGGAAAATATCTGGGAGATACATATACAAAAGCATTTATCTTCAATTCTGATTTAACTAGTTTCATAATTTATTTGCTAAACGTGCAAGAGGTTTAAGTTAAAGTTAGAAGTAATGTCCCAGCTGGCAAATCAGTTCTGTGTGTGACCTTCTCTATACCGGAAAAAAATGGAAAGTTACTATGATAGCAGAAATTAAAAACTGGCTCATATGTGTTAAGTAGTACCTGTGAACAGTTGCCCTGGGCTTGACCTGGTAAAAATTACATTCACTTGGGAAGTTAACTTTGAGTATTTTCCTTCCATTGGGTAGCATTCGGAGGGAAAGGCAAGGGTTTTATTAGGAGATAGGAAATGCCGCACAGAATTGTCCACAATGACATGGCCAGCAATTACTGTGAGAGACTCTGGACAAAGAGAAGGAAATTTTCAGGGTGCTCGCCAGAACACATCAGTTTTTTGATGCAAAATAAACTTTACTATCATGCATGGGACTCAGGACACACACATTACACACTGCGAGCCAGTTCATTACCCAAGTACATATTACAGTCTTTTCATACTTGAACCTCTGATTTCACTTTCTCAAAAAGTTTGAATTTTTAAAAAACACATATATTAATACAGTTTGAAAGGCACGGAGACAGAAAAAGAGAATTTTTTAATCTGCTGGGTCACACCCCAAATGCTCATAACAGCCAGGGCTGTGCCAAACCAAAGCCAGGAGCCAGCAACTCCGTTTAAGTTTTCCAGAGTGACAGTGACCCCGATACTTGAGCATCATCTGCTGCCTCCCCGAGTGTCAGACCAAAGCTAGGACCTGAATCCAGGAACGCCAGGATCCATGCAGGTATGCCTATGTGACATTCTAACTACAGAGCCAAGGGCCCACGCTTATGTAACTTCTGAACTATCTGTATTCATGCAAAATGCATGTACCCTAACACTCACTAAAAATGCACAAGCAAATGGTTGCTAACCAATTTGGAGTTGGGTAGCACTCACCACAACCCAATTCAGAACACTTTGGTCACCCCACAAAGATTCCTCAGCCCGACTCGCATCACTGCCTATTCCTGCCTATAATCCCTGCTTATACAGTATTTTCCACCCTGCTATATTTGCCCTTTCTTATATAAATGAAATCACATCGGTTGTTTGAAAGGTCCTTTATTAGTTTTGCATTTCTAGTTGGTCCTGAGGTCATCAAACCTTGTCTCCAGCACTTGACACAAACACTTGTCTCAGTATACTGTCCTCCTTCCTAAACCAGGGCCACTTATAAGGCTTTCCATTTGTTCATTGAAACTAGAAGCCCTGATTTAAAGTAGGTAACGTGCAAGTCCAGCACCTCCCCTTGCATGTAAAATTAGCTAAAGGGAGACACATGAGTGCAAGTAAATGCAGGGTGATCAGTGCTGCGGAGGAGGGAGATGCTGTGTGCTCTGAAAGAGTTGGAGGAATAATTACAGTCCTGACTTGCTGGAAAGCTGGCGAAGTTTCACTCTCAGGGTTCTTCCCTGGCCAAGACTCTTCCAAGGCTCCGGGGCACCCACTGCCATGTGTTCATGTGGTCATATGCTTTTGTGGTGCTTCTGAAAGGATGATGTTTTAATGAATCAGCATGGCCTCTTCCCTGTCCAACCATCCTTTTGTGCAGAATGGTTGAGCTGTCATGTTTATTTTCAAAAGGGTTGTAGTTTGGAGTTACTGGGATAATTGCTGTGGTTCACTGTCATTTTCATGCAAAATCACTACCCACATCCTCCTTTGGAAATGGCTTCCAAGAATACTCCAGTTACTTGGTCAGATTTGTGTTATGATACAAAAGAGAAGGCCATACTGGCATAGTATGCTAATCCTCTACCTGTGGTGTAAGCATCCCAAGTGGGAGACAATTTGTGTCCTGGCTGCTCCACTTCAGATCCAGCTTGCTGCTTATAGCCTACAAAAGCTGCAGGGGGATGGCTCTGTTGTACCCAAGTGAGCCATTATAGAGGTATGCCACATACTGATTAAGATTTGAAAGTGCTGAGCCTATGAAACTGTCACATAATGCAATGTAATTAATAAAATACATACATATATATATATTTTTAAAAAATATATTTGAAAGTCCTTTATTTGCAGCAGTGGAGAGGGGGCTCATGCCCCAAAGATCTCTCGGCCCCAAACTACAGAACAGTGGGGTTTATTGAATCCACAAACCGGGAGGGATTCAGAGGGACCAAACTAATGTGGAATTACTTTAGGGATGAGAAATTACTGATCACTAACTTGTGAGTCTTCGTTACTGTACCCTTTATTGTTGAACCAAGTAAAACTTATCTTTCTCCCAGTTAGGCTTGAACAGCCTGCCAGGGTTTTTTTTTTTTTTAAAGATTTATTTTATTTTTATTACAAAGTCAGATATACAGAGAGGAGAGACAGAGAGGAAGATCTTCCGTCCAATGATTCACTCCCCAAGTGAGCGCAACGGCCAATGCTGTGCCAATCTGGAGCCAGGATCCAGGAACCTCCTCCAGGTCTCCCATGTGGGTGCAGGGTCCCAAAGCCTTGGGCCATCCTCAACTGCCCTCCTAGGCCACAAGCAGAGAGCTGGATGGGAAGTGGAGCCGCCGGGACAAGAACCGGCACCCATATGGGATCCCAGAGCGTTAAAGGCGAGGACTTTAGCCACTAGGCCATGCCGCCAGGCCCAGTGCCCAGGGTTTTAAGCATTCTTGCCAAGCAGGACACAGTTTTCTCAACCAGTTAGTCTCATAGGTGAGGTGATATCTCCTTTAAGATGAATCCCAGCTCAGCATGAAGTCCCTCGTGTCAGGCCTTCTACTTCAGCTTAAGTGCTTGGGCCTCTGCACCTGGTGGGAGACTAGGAAGAAGCTCCTAGCACCTGGCTTCAGATTGCCTTAGTTTGTCTACCACTCTCTCTCTCTCTTGCTCTTACCCTCCCTCTCTTTCCCGGTAACTCTGACCTTCAAGTTAAATAAAGTTTTTTTTTTATCGTTTTAAAGATAATTGTGTCATAAAAGGAATGTGTTCCATAGTGCTCAGTTACCATGAGAACAAAACTAGTGAAAATGAAGTGGTAGACATTTGAAATGAATGGATCCAGAAGCTATTACGTGGAATGACTTCTAAATATATTTCCTATAATTTCTTATATGAAAACTACAGGATGAAAGTCCTCCCAAATTCAACAATAAACCGAAGAACTGATGCAACATTAACAATTATAAGATTGAAGCTTAGAGGCACTTTTCTAAAATCAGTCATGCTAGGAAAAAACACGATTAATTATTTTCTACAGAAAGAATTACAAAATCTTTGTCAGACCATAAGGCAACCCAAAAAATACATTCCCCTCAAATGGGAGATAAGTATTACAATGATGTGGGGCTTTACGCTTAAGTAACATTGTTATGATCTGGTTTTTTTTAAAGATTTATTTATTTATTGGAAAGTCAGTTATACAGAGAGGAGGACAGACAGAGAAGAAGATCTTCCGTCTGATGATTCACTCCCCAAGTGAGTGCAATGGCCAGTACTGCACCGATCAGAAGCCAGGAGCCTCTTCTAGGTCTCCCACACGGGTGCAGGGTCCCAAAGCTTTGGGCCATTCTTGACTGCTTTCCCAGGCCACAAGCAGGGAGCTGGATGGGAAGTGGAGCCGCCAGGACAAGAACCGGCGCCCATATGGGATCCCGGCGCATTCAAGGAGAGGACTTTAGCTGCTAGGCCACACTGCTGGGCCCTGATCTGTTTTCTTAAAATAAACATTTAATATCATGTTATATTTCTATTCCTAATTTTTAATTTTACCTTAAAAAGAGTCCCCAAATTATGTAGGCATCAGGCTCAACAAATCTGGATCAGCTGTGTGATTCACGCCTAAGCATGTTGTATTTTTCATTCAGTCATTACAAAACCTTGTAAGTATTAGCATTAGCTTTCTAGCACATATGAAAACCAAGCTCAATGAGTTAAGCAACTTATCTAAGATCATATAGTCACAATTCAGACCTGGAATGACCTAACTCTGATTCCAAGATTAAAATTTATTTTAAAATTGAGAGGCAGACACACACACGTGCCTGAATTCAACCCAAGTCATCCAGGGCAGAAGCCTAATCACCGGAGCACCACCTTGCCTCCCAGAGTCTGTGTTAGCAGA